AGAAAGAGGCACAGTGCCATCAAACAGATACAGAACGGATTACATACAGCCTTAATGACCTTTGTGTAGTCGAGTGCTACGCCCCAGCACTCTGCTAGCTACAAGGTAATTTACTCTGATAATTGTACTTATGTGTACTTGTTCCTAAATAAACTTATACCTCTTCCTAAATATACAACGTAGCAACATATACGGTGTCATTATCAGTGTCAGTAAGGTCACACGCAGGACCCCTGAGTGCCTGGCTAAGATTGTTGAAGAAAATACAAGTTGTAAAGCTTTCTGTGGCAGTGCAACATCTGTACTCAGCTCACACACTGAATGTCCGTGGTTCGATCCCCGGTACGGCTCGAAATATTAGGCGTGTTTCCTTACACCTGCTGTCTCTGTTCACTTAGCAGTAAGTAGGTATTAGAGGACTATTGTGAGTCGCATCCTGAGGGACGGAGGATCGAGCCTGCATCAATCCTTGCGATTGAATAACCCATGAGGGCTTACCGCTTCACGTTACTATAATAATTTTCCTCTGAAGATCTCTCATTTGTTAATTACCTTAATTTTGTCTTACAGTCTGCTCTTCCTTTCCTTCCTCCACGTTCATCTTTCCTTCCTCCACGTTCATCTTTCCTTCCTCCACGTTCATCTTTCCTTCCTTATACATTGTATAAACAATGTATCGTCAGGAAATAAACTGAATTGGGTGGCCGGTGGCCTGGTGGCTAAAGCTCCCGCTTCACACACAGAGGGCCCGGGTTCGATTCCCGGTGGGTGGAAACATTTCGACACGTTTCCTTACACCTGTTGTCCTGTTCACCTAGCAGCAATAGGTACCTGGGTATTACGTCGACTGGTGTGGGTCGCATCCTTGGGACAGATCTAGGACCCCATGAATAAGTTAGACATCCTCTCGATGACGCACTGACTTTCTTGGGTTCTCCTGGTGGCTACCCTCCGGTGTTAAATCCAACGAATCTCTCTTAATTTGAAATCCCGTCTCGACCTGTGGCATCCTCCTCTTCTCCTCTTCCTCCTCTTCCCCTCCTCCTCCGCTTCCCCTCCTCCTCCGCTTCCCCTCCTCCTCCTCCTCCTCCTCTTCCTCTCCTTCGTTCGACTGAACCTGCACAAGCTTCCAACTGTTGAACGTCATTCGTCCAACTTCCGTCACCATTACTGTTATTACAAGATCCAGCAAGTTTAGGCAGTTCTCGGGGTGAGTGAGTTGGCTTCCCATCTTAGGGGTGAGTGACCTGGTTCCTATTTCAGGCAGATCCCTGCTGGGTGAGTGATCTAGTTCCTATTTCAGGCAGGTCCCTGCTGGGTTAGTGACCTGCCTTCCTATTTCAGGCAGGTCCCTGCTGGGTGAGTGACCTGGCTTCCTATTTCAGGCAGGTCCCTGCTGGGTGAGTGACCTAGCTTCCTATTTCAGGCAGATCCCTGCTGTGTGAGTGACCTGTCTTCCTATTTCAGGCAGGTCCCTGCTGGGTGACCTGGCTTCCTATTTCAAGCAGGTCCCTGCTGGGAGGCCTGGCTTCCTATTTCAGGCAGGTCCCTGCTGGGAGGCCTGGCTTCCTATTTCAGGCAGGTCCCTGCTGGGTAACCTGGCTTCCTATTTCAGGCAAGTCCCTGCTGGTGAGTGACCTGGCTTTATTTCAGGCAGGTCCCTCCTGGGTGAGTGACCTGGCTTCCAATTTCAGGCAGGTCCCTGCTGGGTGAGTGACCTGGCTTTCTATTTCAAGCAGGTCCCTGCTGTGTGACTGACCTGGCGTGCCGTGCCAGCATCTTCGTGAAAGTCATTCTGGGCAGCGCCACACCTTCCCCAATATTCTCTTAAATAATGTGTGCTAGGTAGTTGCTAGTTGTTAAAGGCGTCTGCCGATAGTCACTTGGCCTGTGTGTGTGTGTGTGTGTACTCACCTATTTGTGGTTGCAGGGGTCGAGTCCTAGCTCCTGGCCCCGCCCCTTCACCGGTTGCTACTGGGTCCTCTCCCTGCTCCATGAGCTTTATCAAACCTCGTCTTAAAACTATGTATGGTTCCCGCCTCCACTACGTCACTTTCTAGGCTATTTCACTGCCTGACAACTCTATGACTGAAGAAATACTTCCTAACATCCCTTTGATTCATCTGAGTCTTCAACTTCCAATTGTGACCTCTTGTTTCTGTGTCTCATCCCTGGAACATCCTGTCTTTGTCTACCTTGTGTGTGTGTGTGTGTGTGTGTGTGTGTGTGTGTGTGTGTGTGTGTGTGTGTGTGTACAAAATTTCTTGTGTAAGAAGCATCGCCATTAAAGCAAAATTGCCAAGAAAATCGCCTTAATGGAAGAAAATTAAGTGGAATTTCGAGCACCGAATAAAAGGTAGACAACAAAATAATGCAAATCATTACAGGAACCAAACAAATTCTACATTGCGGAAAAAATACTGCCAGTAATGAAGTGTCATAATTAATAATAATAATAATAATAATAATAATAATAATAATAATATCAGATGCTGGAGGCAGACCTCAAAACTTGACCATTACATGACGAAAGAAGAAATTAATTGAGTTTGAAGTGGAAGACAAAAAATCTGCTTCTGATGTATGATGGACCAATTTTATAAAAGTCTGGGAGAAAAATTTTCCTGGTGTGGTAATTTTTATTTAATTTATTTTAAAATATTTTTTTTTAAAATTAATAATGTGAGGTGCGATAAGAGATACCCGAAGGAAATTGATAATATATATTTTTAAAACTTGATCTAGACACATAAATACACCATCCCAGAGAGTATGTAATGAAAGGTTGGTTAATTAACTTGAAAGTCTATCTACTGCTTGAGCAGCGCTGTATAGCCCTTGTGGTTTAGCGCTTCTTTTTTATTATACTAATAACATCTACTACTTGAGAGCCATTAAGGCTTCATGTCAACTTGACATCAACAGTTAAAGATTCTTTAACCCATAAAATAAGTATTAAAGCAAACTCGAAGTAATTTAAGTTAGTAAATATTGATTTACGTTCATCACACAAATTTACATTTTTACGACTCGTACTTAGAACTTATTTGTAAATTAACGTGGGATAAACCAATGAAGTGAAAGACTGACTTATTTCTGTTCAGTTCCTGAGTTATCTAAGATATGATTTTGTTAATTTTTAACCCCGAAGGGTTAGTCACCCAGGATAATCCAAGAAAGTCAGTGCGTCATCCAGGACTATTATTTCCATTGTGGTCCTTCAGTCTTATCCCCCCAGAATGCAACTCACACCAGTCGATTAACACCCAGGTACCTACTTGCTTGCTAGGTGAACAGGGACAGTAGGTGTTTCCATCCTTGTCGGGAATCGAACCGCGGACATTGTGTGAAGCAAGAGCGTTGCATACTAGGCTACGGGACACCTACTAGGCCAGAACACAGTTATACATCTCTCAGTGTATATGTAGCATGGTGCACGCCTGATATATAAGCATAGCAGAAATGTAAATATCCACGGGACACCGTGGCCACTAGACCACGGTGGCCCATGGCGAAGTGGCAAAAGCTCTCTCTTCACACGGCGTGGCTCGGGTTCGATTCCCGGCGAGGGTAGAAACATCAGGTGTGTTTACACAGGTTGTCTATGTTCACCCATCAGTAAAATAGGTAACTGGGGGTTAGTGGATTGGTGTGGGCGCATCCTGGGACAAAATGACCTAATTTGCCCGATATGCTCTGCATAATAAGCGACTTTCTGTATAGCAGTATGTCATTGATGTCACCTAGGCCTGTATACCTTGTATACATGTAATTGTAGAAATAAAGATATTAGTATTATTATTAGAATCTCATTGGAACAGTATCGAGAGGTCGTTTAATATCAGGTTACTGAAGCATTACAAACTCCTCAGACTGATGTGACCCTTAACACCCATCCACAAGAACAGTGTCAGACATTTGTAGTTTGTAGGAGGTAAGCAAGGAAAATTTTTGGTGTAATTACAGACATACGACTGGCGTGTGCCTCTTTGCCATCCCTAATGGCAATGGTCGTGATAAATCTTTCTTGATTTAGGTCCCTGTGCTATATATATACACTGCATAGGTGATTTTAGTGCATTAAATGCTTACGTTTTTTCTGCTGAGTTTCTTTTTTATTAAAATTAGAAAAGTACCAAAATTTATCTTTATGCGCCAGCTAGTTGGTGGTTTCTCTCATTTATATAAGCTTGTGAAGACGGATAAAATTGATACTGACATCTGGTTGACGAAGTTCTTGGAAAACCAGTTGTAGTAGGAATGTTATTGTAGGAGTGTCAGGATGTTATGGATTAAGGAGAGGAGATTGATGGGACTATGAAGGGATGACGTAGTATAATAGCCCTCTTCTGGATGGGCTGCCTTCGCAATAAAGAGTTCCTTGTTACAGCGACGGTGGCTGTTAACTTGGATGTGGCTGCTGGAGATCGATCTCGCTGTCATGTGTCTTGCTGAAGCCGTTACACCGGGATTGATGTTGTGGTACACTATATTCAGACGACGTATTGTGGTTCCCTGGAAGGGTATATTCTTAGTTAATATTCCTCTGTCAGGTCTAGCCGTATGGGCGAGTCTCCTCACACCCGCTGTCCCTGTTAACCTTGAGTAAAAAGGTACCTAGGCGTTAGTTGATCATTGAGGGTTGCATCCTGGGGAATGGTCAAGTACTACAAATTACTGAGCAACTTGACTGTCTCTCAAAGTTGACCTAACGATGCACAATCTGTGCCCAAAGTACACAACAAACGAATCATTAGAATATCTTCGGAATTAACGAAAGCTAGCTCATACTGTGCATAATTTAAGATATATATACTCTACGATATATATATATATATATATATATATATATATATATATATATATATATATATATATATATATATATATATATATATATATATATATATATAATATATATATATATATATATATATATATATATATATATAAATAAGGTTAAATCCTACTATTTACAGATATTTTATGCATATAGCAATTACAAGCTTTTTGCAACCTTGCTATATGTTTATAATACTCTTTAAAATCATTAGTAGATTTTCTGAAATATAAATTCTTAGGATAAAAGTTTCATCCTAGTATCCCATAAAATATATATATTTTTTATAAAGTATACCAGATAGAGAAAATGATAGAGAGAGGACTTACAATGGGAAACTTGCAAAATTTTATTTGCAACACCGGCAAAATTAAATGACATTTATGAAAAAGACTTCTTTTGAATGTTTAACCCCAGACGCTACACGACACCTATAGGTTTAGCGCTTCACTGTTATTATAATAAATAATTGGAGAGTTAATAGCCTAAGAAAGCCACTGGATAAGGCCTCGGTTTATTAACCGGAGCTTAATAACTTAAGGTAACCCAAGAAAAACCAGCAATAAGACTTATTTCCATTTAGCTTATTTCGTTCTCTTTGCATGTGTGCCACACAAAACCGTTGGCTAACACCTGGGTCTCTACCAACTGCTAGATGAATATCGGCACCGTCTCCACTCGTCCTCGAGTCGCACTCTGCTCCTTCAGTTGTGAGCCGAAGGCACTAACATGGAAATATGAGCTAGGAGGTGGCCCAGAACAGTTGACTCTAATACTCGGGTACCTAATTGCTATTAGAGGGACAGGGACATTAAATGTCAGGACACCTGATCACCATAAGTTCAGGCCTACGTGCTGGAGTTCATCAGATACATGGAGAGAGTTCCAGGGTCAACGCCTCCGCGGCCCAGTCTGCGACCAGGCCTCATGGTGGATCAGGGCCTGATCAACCAGGCTGTTACTGCTGGCCGCACGTAATCCAACGTACGAACCACATCCCGGCTGGTCAGCTACTGACCAATCGTATGCTGGACTAACACAGTATAACTGGTTTTTTGAAGGATATTCTAGTTTAAATCTACATAATTTACTGTCATTGTATGGCTAAAACTATCAGGTGTTTGTTGCAATGCTTGGCTACCTAACAACTGCTGCCCCTTTTCACCTAGCAGTAAATAGATACCTAGGCTTTCTTGAGTTATTCTGGTTTATTAGCCTAGAAATATTAATCCCGGTTGTTGGAACTTATTCGGTCCTAGAAGTCCCAACGGGGGGAAACACACCGTTTGAGGGCCCTTAAACCCAACTAAAACACACACACACACACACACACACACACACGGGGCAGGGAGGAAGAGCACCTAGTAGCAATCAGCGAAGAGGCGGGGCCAGGAGGTATGACTCGACCCCTGCAACCACAAATAGGTGAGTACACACACCCGGGTTGGCGAAGGTGGTTGGAAGGTACTTCTTAATTGATAGATTTACCCTTCAGGGAAGAAGTAGGTAGTTTATACTGTTAGTACACTAATATTAGGATTATTGAGGCAACTGTAGATAATAATAATGTAGACCTAAGACCTTAACGTAGGTAGTAGTAGGCCGATAATGTAGGCAAACACTAGGTTATATTAGCCAGGGAGAACTGGCAGGCCAAGTTTGAATACTGGGGCACCGGTCTGAGACCACAGTGCCCTTCTTCTAAGACTAGACACCATCCGAGCAACAAGTGCCGTGATCAGCAGGCGGCGCCCCCACGTGTCTTCATATACTAGATCTGGGGAAATCTGGTGGAGGCACCTCGACGTAACGTAGATGTCCTCCGTCAGGCCCATACAGTAAGACAAGACCTCCATTTTTTTCTTAGGATCCTGGCCAGTGTTATCTGGAGTTTATCTGGAGAGAGTTCCGGGGGTCAACGCCCCCGCGGCCCGGTCTGTGACCAGGCCTCCTTAGGTCAGTGTCCCAGGATGCGACCCACACCAGTCGACTAACACCCAGGTACCCATTTTACTGATGGGGAACATAGACAACAGGTGAAAGAAACATGTCCAATGTTTCTACTCTGGCTGGGAATCGAACCCAGGCCCTCACCGTGTGAAGCGAGAGCGTTAGCCACCAGGCCACCAGAGCCTCTGGGGAAAAATTGTGGGTGAGTCGTGCTGTGGCCTTTGTGCAGCCGGCAGTTCATGACCAGTACATACCGGCGTCTCATGTCAGCCTAGAAGCTAGTGTCACTCTGCATAGTTAGTCTAGGGGATATACACCCCCTTGGAAATAGGAATTTCTGAGGTGCAGGCAGGTCACTAATAACGATTGAATATTGCAGGAATTAGGCCCCCGGTTGCACGTGGTTCTGAGGGGAAGTTCCACAGGGACTAAAGCTTAGGGAGGTTGAAGACCGAGACACATTCTCTAACACCAAGTAAGTTAGTCCTTTACATGTGCATGCAGGTGAGATTTCTTGCAACATCAGTCATTTATGAAAATCTGTTCTATAAGCCACTTGTGAGGCTGAGGTACCGACCTCAGAGCTCGGTGTCAACAGAGCTTGCCAGGGTAGACAACTCACATGGTGGAGGCAGTCCAGACAAATTTTCACACCGGTAAAGTTTTTTTTTTTCTTTTATACGTTCTTTCATCTTCTCCGAGCTACAGGA